ACGGGACAGCTTGTGCCATCTAGCGGGGCGCAGTTGAAACAGAAAGGTCTGCAATCTCGAAGCTAATGGTCTGCTGCTACTAGTGCAGTAAAGCTGGGCAACGTTGTGTACGGCAATAGCAACGTGAATCGGTTCGGTTGGTCCGCTTCTTGAGGCGGGTAACTTGAAGTGCACTAACCCGATGCGAACCACTAAAACGTTGATCTTATTTCAACATAGGCCCTTTCTTGGCACAAAAATAACACTACGAGATTTCTGGGCTGCTATTTTAGCAATCAGTGTCGACCTAATAGTTGCCTTTAGTGTCTCTTTAAAGGGACCCTGCAACACTTTTTCAGCATGGTCAGAAAACGCTGCCAATGAGTAGTCGAGGCACGCGAGAAGTGTGAGCTAAACATTATAGCGAAGCACGTAGCTGGGTATGTACGAATGATTCTTAGCTAGGAATCTTTCACTCTTCTCAGGACAAATCATCATAAGCATTGTGAACTGCACGTTTCCCGCGACCTCAGCAGGATGGCGCTGTGTCTTTGCAATTATTTATTTATTTATTTACATATACTGCCAATCCCAATTAGGGATTATTGCAGGAAGGGCACATACATTGTGAAAGGGCAAGATTTATACAGAGGGTACTCACTGAATTATTATAATAACGAGTGAGACAACGCCGACAAAAATACAATTGCTACCACTAAAATACATTCAGTAGCATAGGACATCAATTCCAACTAGTACTGAAGAAAAAGAATAGTGAGCACTTCAAACAGTGGACAAGAAAAAAACAGAGTTCGTTAGTTCTGAAGATAATAAATAACATTCGAGCAGGGATGAAAAAGTTTCCAATGATTGACTGTTTGTTATACTGATTGGCAAGTTATACCACTCGCGAATTGCTAGTGGAAAAAAAGAATATTTCAGACAGTCCGTCCGGCACTGATATTCATTCAGTGTCAGAGAATGCTTTTGTCGTGTTGGCCTTGTTTCTTTAAATGACATGTACTTTGAACTGTCTATGTTTAGCTGTTGGTGAACTAACTGATATAGGAATTTCTGACGTGCCAGTTTAGCGCGGTTTTTTATTGTTAGGAGACCTGCTTTTTTTAAAAGTTCTGTGGGTGAGTCAGTTATTCTGTACTTGTTATAGACAAATCTTATCGCTTTTCGTTGTATTCGTTCTAGGGCATTTATGAGATTGTTTGTAAAGGGAAACCACGCGACGTTTGCATATTCTAAGACAGGTATGACGAATGCTTTGTAGGCTAGAAGTCTCGTTTCAGGTGGCGCGGAAGCGAGACTTCTACGAAGGAAAAAACAGCCGTTTTAATGCAGCTGATGTGACTTGACTAACGTGGATATCCCATCTAAAATCTTGCGTTAAAGTTAAACCTAGGTATTTATGTTCAGTCACTACCGGAAGTGGAGAGTTATTTATAACGTAAACAAATTCAGATACTTGCTTTTTTCTTGTTATCCTCAAGAGAGCAGATTTTTTAACATTCAGGGTCATTTGCCAAAGAGCACACCACTTAGATATGAACTGCAAGGCATTGTTCAGTTTTACATGATCATCTGGGGCGTTAATTTCCTGGTAAAGTATACAATCATCGGCGAAAAGCCTCACATTAACACCAATGCCAGCAGGTAAATCATTAATGAAGATCAAAAATAAAATGGGGGCCGAAACACTGCCCTGCGGTACACCTGACGTAACGTTGGCTATGGTAGAACTTTCGCGATTGACTTGCACATACTGTGTTCGGTTACTCAGATAATTGTCGATCCAGTCAGTAAGTGGGCCTGCGCCTATCGTTGCTTCTAATTTTTTTATAAGTTTTTTGTGTGGCACCCGATCAAACGCCTTTGAGAAATCTAATAGAATTAAATCAATTTGTTTTGTACAGTCTACATTGAGGGAGATGTCGTGAATTAGTTCAACCAGTTGGGTAACTGTAGATAGTCCTTTGCGAAAACCGTGTTGTAGTGGCGATAAGATGTTATTCTGGTCAAGGTACAACGTTAGATGTTTAAGATTAATGTGTTCCAGTAGTTTGCAAGTTGTGCTGGTTAATGAAATGGGTCTGAAATTTGAAGGGTCAGCTTCGCTACCAGATTTATGAGCAGCGGCTACTTTTGCGATTTTTCATTCTCGGGGGAGGGAACAGGTTGATAGGGACTTATTGAAAAGTATACACAAGTATTTGGCTACCTTATCAGCATATCACCTAAGAAATTCATTTGGCAAGTTATCGGGACCGGCACCTTTCTTAATTACTAGAGTTACATGCCCCCGTAGAGTTACATGCCCCCTACAGGAGCAGAGTTGCGCATAGGCCCATCATTATGTCAACAGACTGCGCAGTCAAGCCACTCGTCGCGCATGCAGGAGACAATTGCAGCACGATGTTCCTGCGTTGGTGACGAGGAGCATACTTATTCGCACACGCTGAGCATGAACTAAGCGACATGGTGAAAACAGTTTTGCATTGGTGGGCAGATTCCACCATCAAAGCCTTCAGATGCATGCTACAATCTAAACAGCTGAAAAGTTTGCTTTTGTGCGTGGTAATTTGCAACGAAACGCGGTGCCATTACTTACAGCATGTACACAACCTTTTCTCCCCTGGTCGGAAGGCAAGAAATAGTAGCCTTGAAGGGCGTTTGAAGGAAATTCACACACACATGGTCGACAATAGGATCGATGGGAGCGAGAACGCTGTAGGCCCTTCTGCTCAGATTTGGGAACACGTTAAAGAACCACAGGTGGTTGAAATTTCCGGAGCCCTCCACTACGGTGTCTCTCTTAATAATATGGTGGTTTTGTGATTTTAAATGCCACGTATCAATGATATCGACAATAGAATGCATTTTGGCCGCCGGTGCCAGCGGATTGGCAGCCGCCGACAAAATATTGCGCGTGCAGTTACCACTGACAAACTCTCACAATAAGAGCTGACTGTCTTCTGGCAACACCACGAGTGCTGCCAATACTCGTATTGCATCATATAATACACCAAAGATCAAATAATTTAAGCATGCCTAACTCCATTAAAATAGTGCAGAATGAATTAGTAAAGGTGAAGGACGCAAATAAAGGTGAAGGGGGGCGGGGGGCGAAGAATCCGTCAAGCCGTCATTACGGCTTTTCCCTCCGCCTCCTGTTACCTGTACTGTGACAAATTAAATCAAGTTAACACAAATCAACAAGAATAAGATGATTAAAAAAACAATGCATGTTAAGCTTAGTGCATAAGGTAAATAAAAGGTAATTAAGGGTGAATCAAGCATGAAATAGGTGAACCGAAAATGTAACCAAAATCACAGTGAATCTTCATGGGAATGCATGCTGGCTTTCGCCGTCAAGTCATCCTAGCCTGCCATAAGGGACTTTGTGAATTGAAATTCAGAATTAATGCTGCAGAACCGACAGAGACGCAAGAGCTTTTTAATGAAATTTTATTTGTACAATGGTGTAAATATTATGGATGAGAAATAGCTGCCGGCAGTAGGTGTACTACACCCAGTCATATGGTTGCACAGAACTGTCAATAGGACATACTTTCGAACACTTCGCCAAGGTGTGGAGCCGATATAGCGCATACTCTTCACGCGCGCACGCTGAAACGTTAGACGACCGCTAGCGGCGGTCACGGATGGACTGACGGAAACTACAACCGGAGCGTGCCCTTAAAGTTGGCTTCGCCGCTTCGATTTGAACATTTGACATCACTTTATACCACGTGACAACGCTCACTAAAAAGCGGCGTGACTTTACGCAGTAATTTTAGCAATCACACCAAAAGTCAGCCATGCATTCAAAGAAAAAGAAGGGGCTCAAGGTCTTGATGTGTGCTGTCTAACGGGTGCATCTTTTTGCCCCCCTGGTCATACCCCCTAGCTAGCTTTCAGTGTGCTCGGTGATGCGAAAGGACAGAGAAAGCGCCTGAAACGTACTATAAATACCTGTAATTGCGCTCGTACTTCGAAATATCTTTGCGACAGTCTATTTGTGAGGCGATGAACTTTTTTAATGAAGCCATTTCATGATTATTAGAAAAGGTGTTGCGGACTTCTTTTTTAGAGTTAGTTGCTTTATTTTGTGGGAGATGTGGTATGTTACTCCTATAATTGTTGTGTTTGGCCTATGTGCCACCTCCTCGCTGGAAGTTGTAAACGCACCACATGGTACATAAATTTCCTACACTAATTTGGTGGCTGTACTAACTCAACTACCGCGGATGTTACTAGTGTTACGCATGGGTCTGTTTCACTTCTTGTTCTTGCAGCCTACCATTTTCTACGCAGCATCACTCCATTGACCTAAATTTTGAGGCTATCATCATAATTTTCTTTTTCATTTTTTTTTTTTTTTTGAGAAAGCTGAAGACAGCCTTTGTGCGTAATTTTATTGGAAGTAATTTCTGAATGTTCGAACAAATGTGGAATTTACTCCGACATTTATTATACTATGCGTAGCTAACACTGTCACATTTACTTCAAAATAGAACATCTAACTGAAGTAGGAGTTGCCCAAATATAAAAAAACTAAAAAGCTTTTGATGTGAATGACCTCATTCATTGCGAGTTAATTAGCTAAACCTCACTTAGTGATGCCATAAGCTGCATCCTTTTTATTCACTTTCCTGATGCAGTCTTTCTTTTTTAGTCTCTTCGCTTGACTGTCTAGCTTGTACAAATATACATGTGTGATGTATTAGCATAAAGCATGTTTAAGTAATTACATTCATGTAAGTGGGGCGGTGATCATGTTTAAAGATGGAGATTATCACAGCAGCAGCTCATTCGCACGCAGCACTGTCTCCAAGACTTATGGGTTTAGATAGAGCCCCTTGGCTGCTAAATGGCCTTAGGGTTGGGCAGTTAAAGTAGATGCTGTTTCTCTAAGTGAAACAGTTTTTAACTATGCCGGATTGTTGGTCACTCACTTCAAACAGCTCGACTGCGTATGCTGATGTGCCTCGTGTGCTCTCCCTCGGCAGGCTCACCTCGCCGGTCAGAACCCAATGCTGGCATCGATGCTGGCACAGACACCTCGGCCCGTGCCCTCAGTCCCGACGTCCATCGCCAACTCGATAGTGTCGCAGCTGCCCCAGGAGCGGCTGCCCAAGAACCTCGAGAAGAAGCTCATTCACACTCCTCTGACTCCTGGCGCACTGTTGGCCCCTCAGCAGCAGCAAACGCAGCAGCCACAGCAGCCACAGTCTGTGATGATCAAGCAGCCGCAGCCCGGTCGACCCACCACGTTGCTCGGCCTTGGACCACAAGGTTTGGCACACTTTCCGGCATGACTGCGCCTTGCCGATTATTTCGTTAGATGTCTACTCTCTAGACATCTGCACCTTTTGAGGGAGTCTTGGGCATAATCATCATCCGGCCCATGTGCCTTTGCTTGCTTCAGAAGCTGCATTTGTACAAAAGAACACGTAGTCCAAGCCTCATGGATCTGCGTGTTGGAACGGAGTGTCTTTTGTTTTAGTTTTAGTTTCGTACCACCGTGAAATATTGTATTTCATTTCTGTTCTGTAACAGCAAAAAAATGTTCTGTAATGGTTTCTAAAATTTTTTTTCTTTGCATAAACAGTTTTAAAGTTAAACTATTGATAAAAAATTAGATTTGTGGAATAGTTAGCCACACTCCTCTTAGCCGAGTGAGACAGGGGTAAAACGCACTCTTCCCACGTTTTCAAAACAGCGCAACTAACTGTACCAGGGATTTCTATGAATCGGCGCAAGCCACTATCCTTCTAATTATATCATTTATTTTTTGTGGTGAATTACGAATTTTCTCGCAGACTCCGCACTTTGCGCCAAAGGTGCGAGCGCAATGTCTGAAGCATTCAGTCGTTGACTGTACCTATGATATGAGAGAGTGCTGCTTTGATGAAGCAAGCTTCAGCGCAGGGAATGCCCTCTCCACGTTCGTCTGCATGACTGGCTCACGAATGTCCACTTGCATGCGTTAATACAAAGATCTTCGATTGCCACTGTTTCTGTTTTTCGCGCGAGACCAAACATCAGCACACCTTCACTTTGAAATTCCTGTCCGTGGAATTCCTGTCCGATATACGCGCTGGTATTGTCTCCCGAGCTATGTGTTACTGCTCAAGTTGCGTGGCCTTGGTTATTCCAGATTATCAAGCTTTTGCGTGAACCGGAAAATGATTTTTTAACAAAATCACGGCTTTGCTCTACAATGTAACAATAGATAACATTTCGGTTACGTTTACATTTTGGCCAAAGATGTAATTCCTTCCGTTTATTGGTTCCCGTTTTCATTCTGTTCTGACACACTGCTACGGATTGCATATTGTGACTATACACCATTGGTTCCTGTAGCAATTATTTAGTCTGCGTCATGCGATTTCGCAAAATAATGAAAGCCCAATGAACCATTAGGATCTTTCGTGAGCAGTGCCGAATCGCCCTCTATGTCAGAGGGATCCGAATCACTTTGCATGTCATGCGACTGTTTTGTCCGCAATCATGTCCATTGTGCCATTGCACATCCACCATAACCATACAAACTCACCAAAATATGAACAAATGTATCTTCTCTCTTTGCCATTGCATTATTAGAGACACAGGGCTGATACGTCCAGGTCACAAATGATTTGTGTGCCTTGAAGTGACCTAGCATCTCTCTAGAAAAGCGATTAGGGCCAGATCTTTAAGAAAGTAAAAGCTGGCGAGCCAGATAGCAAGACTATAGGACTTTTGAGAGAGAGAGAGAGAGAGTGAAATACAGAGGAAATGCATGGAGGTTAACCAAGGTTGGCTCGGTTGGCTACCCTACACTTGGGGTGGGGGAAATGGGGAATAGTAAAAAGAAAGAGATAGAGAGAAAGACTCTTGAAAGAGGGTGTAAATATGGTTAGTCCTTGGAGCATAAGACATCGACGTGCGAGTTATTTGCAGGCAGCTCAGTCTCCGGCTTTTTGTTTGTCGCTGCAGAAACCAGTGCTATGACTCTTCAGCACCAGCGAACCTTCGGTGGCGGCGGTGGCCTCATTCAGCAGCAGCAGCAGCAGCAACCACCACCACAGCATGGCTTTCTCAGCAAGATCCTGACGAACAGCCCGGACTCGACAAGGCGAGCTTTGCAACCGTCTCAGGCGTACGTGCCTCACACGACGAACGTGGCTGCGGGAGGCTCTAGCTTTTCCCCTGCCACAAGTGGTGCCAGCGCGGTGCTCTCCGAACTCCTCAACGATTCGCGCGTCCCAGCCAGCATTGTGAATGCGGTCAACTCTTCGTCTGCGGCGTCCCTCACTATGGCTGCTGCAGCGGGGGGTGCATCGGCCGATCAACTTTTGTCACAAGTGCTGGATGACGTGAGTGGCTTGATCTCCTGAAAAATCGATGAGTCTCCTCACTCTTCTGCTGGTATGCTAGAGGATGTGGGTTTGATTTGTGGCTCTGGCGGTCGCGTTTCTATTGGTGCGAAATACAACAACAACTTGTGTATGTAGACTTCAGTGCATGTTAAAGATCCCCCTGACAGTGACAGTTTTGCTTGCGACTTTTTTTTACAGTAATTTGTAGCTATGCGTCTGGTAATGCCGAAATTCCATTGTAAATGCTCAAACGCATCATAGAATTAATGCTAGCATTGTCAATTCAGAACGGTTTTCCATCAGTTCGAAATGCCTATATATTAGAAAAACTATATATGCTACAAAACCTATATATATTATAAATACCTATATAAATTATAAAAACTAGCACCCTGTAGCGGGGCAGTGCCTGAGAATACGTGTGCTCAAGCTTCAGTTACGCTGAACAAACAGTTTTGAGATAAGGAGACCTGCAGGAGGTGAAGAATGAAACAATGTTGGTGCTTTGAGTATGCCTTCCTCAAAAAAAAAAAAAAAGAAGAAAAAAAAAGCATTCCCGGTGTAAGCAGCCAGAACCACCTTGAGGGCAGCCTGACAACAGAGTGTGAGGATTTACAAACAATAGTCCTCACCGGGTGCCAGTCGATGTCTTGTGTGCTCCCCAGGGTGCAAATGTTCCCTGCCGTCAACAATACTTGCTTGACCTCTGCAATGTATGGGGGGCCCTGTCTGTGTCAAACAAAAGAAAATGTCAATTGGACCTGAATACTCCAATGAGCCGCTTCTCACACATATTTTAAGACCAAATTAAAGTATCTTATAGGCAATGCTTGTCACTAATATTCGATTAGACGGGCCTTCATTACCCTGCATGCTGAACTCTCAAGCAACACTAGCATCTCGTGTTTATAAATTTGGCATCAGGGGTCCTTCAATAAACCTCAAGTGGTAAAAGTCTGTCATGTAGCCTTCATTAAATTGGCATGCTTCATAATCTTCTGGTTTTGGCACATAAATCTCCTGCAGTTAGTCTTGTTTTATAATATTACTATAAACTTTCTGTGGGAAAAATTGTGGTAAAAGCATTCGTGAGTGTCTGCAGTGGCAGTGCCCCCGTTTGCAAAAAAAAAGGTAGAAAGTAAACGCAGGGAAAAAAAGCAGAGATATGATAATAATTTAAACAATACCAAAAGTAAGAAAACCCTTGCACTCCACAGAAAATGAACCCACAACCTCAGTATATATTGCATACTGTATTTACTCTCTTAATAAACCCACCCTTTTTTCAGAAAGTTGATGCCCATTTGGGGGAGGGTTCATTAGGCGGGAGAAGAAAGTCACAGCTGTTATAACAGTAAAAATTTCGCGTGACGGCCTTGTTTGTTTTGGCCCATGAGTCGCGCGACAAATCTTTTTTGATGCCCGAAGATCTTTTTGTTTCCCCCTGTAACGAAAGCAGCACGTATTGACGTTTAAGTGCCAGCCGCTCGGTTTCAATGCTCGAGCCCGTGATGTTTGTGACCAACCCTGTAGCTAGCATATCGGCCAAATGCGCCCTGCGCAGCAGGTGTCCCAACTAAGTTCACAACGACAAACCCGGCAACAAAAACGTAGCGTCTGATGGCGGCGCACAAAGGTTGCGAAAAACGTTGCCGGTGCACAATGCGCTGTCGGCGCGGTGAATGCGGTTAGGCTTTGCATAGCCTCTAAGACTGCAAGCGCGCGACGTGTTTCTAGGCCGCGTGTGCCTTGTTTTTGTGCTTTGTTTTTGTGCTGCTGTGCTTGCGCGGAGCTATCAGCAAAGAGCACTCCTGCATTCGACAGGTGGCGCTTTGTCGTAAAAGACAGGACTTTCAGATTTTGATTGACGTCATTTGCGCTCGCGCTGCTCGCAACTGTTTAGCATGGTTGCAAAACTATGTTTCGACTTTTATTGTGTTGTTATTTCGTGATATAATGGCTTGACTTAACGTTGTTTCGATCGTCAATGACACTGGCTATCGTACCAAAATAAAATGGATACATTTTTTTCCAAGGACCAAGTTGTGTGTGGGGGGGTGGGGGGGGTTCATTATGCGAGTAAATACAGTGTATAGTGCAATGAAGTTTCATTATAAGAGACTGATGTGAGAGACAAACGAGTTCAAGAGACCCCAGAAACAAATGTTGATGAAAGAATGCATACGTAGTTCTTTTATAACAGACACCTCGAGAAGGATTTCTCTTTGGTGCATGTCCTTATAAAGGGAGTCAACTGTATAGTACTATAGCATAATGTGCTCTGTCGAGCCCGCTTGTAACGATCCTGAGCCTGACGTGGCATCCGTTAGCTGTATTCCGAAGTTTGTAGTAAATGAAACAGCTTTTAAAAAATTTGCGAGTGAAAACACAAACTTTTTCTGCAAAAAGTTCGTGATGCACGTGTTTGAAGAGCAGAAGCGATAAGGGCGGTCTTGAGTTAATTTAAAGCGGCAGGGTGCTCGTTTGACGACGCCTGTGGCATAAGCTGCATGAGGCACTGGCTCCAAAGTACCGTCGTTCTAGCAATCCGATTCCTCGAAGTCGCTCTCACCACGTATTTCATTCATAATGCCCCAATCCGTGCACGGTTCTGCAGTGTCGACATCATCATTGGCCGTAATTAAACTATCGCAACAGATGTCCCACCCACTCTCCCAGGTCGTAGTCGGTGACGCGCTGCCACAAATTGCCGCCACAGTGGTCCTGTTCGGAAGCTTCAGGCTCAGCATCGGAAGCTACGTCGACGAAGTCAGGCCTCGCGAAAAAGTATCGCGTGCATGTAGCCGTCACCGCCACCCACGAAATATTCATCTCCACAGCTGAATACCATGAAGCCCGAAGCGGCAAGTTTGCTGCCAGGTGGTCAACAGCTATGAGCAAGTGCTCCGCAACACGGCGCCTAACGCGCTGATTCCACCCAAGCCAAGCCGTCACACTTTCGACGTTTTGTCGAGAGGCAGGAAAAAGCGTGGTAGGCCTCCCATCCGCCATTCAGACGACACATGCACACCGGAAGCGAGCAAGATGCGCTCACGCAACATACATCCCAGAATGCATGGTACAGCTCTGGGCCTGTTTGTGGTCAGAAAACAAAACTTCTGAATTCGAGTCAGTGTGGCTGGCATCACGGAGCGGTGGAGACGGGCGAAGTTGTTGTGTTAAGAGAGGCGAGCCAGTTTGTGACAGAAGGGCAAGGAGTTGTGATAGAGTGAAGAGAGGGGAGGCTACGCCGGGAAGGCGACCTTGAAAACCAAACGCGCGGGAAGAAAACAGGTCGGGCAGCTTGCTTGAAAGGTCCGCGAAATACACATCTCACGCGTAGAATGCGAGCGCACGGCCGCCTGTATCGGCGCGCACGGCGGTGTTCAAAGAATTGAGGGCTGTGGCCAAAGAATCGTTTTGTTGCGCCGGTGGGTTTGCGCGGCATCACCGGCTTCGATATTTTGTGATTCGTTCCGCGGAAATAACAGCCATTTTTACGTTTCCGCATGCATGCGGATGGCACGCTGAGCCGAGTGCGAAGTGAGCAAGAGCAGGTGCTAAACTCGAAAAGAATCTCTAATTATCAGAGTGGGTGGGGTAGTGTACACGTGTGCATTATAACGATGCAATTAGACAAGACGCAGACTATCGAATACAGACGATGTTGGCAAATTGTGTGGTCACTCCAGGCCGCCGGCTTCAACGACAGTACCAGCAATCAAAAGCAGGGGTGATGGTCTTCGAAATGGAGTTGCTTTTCGAAAGACGGGTGGCAATGTGAAAACACGGGCCACATCTGGCGATGCGGGGTGCTCAGAGTAGCGGGGGGACAAAAGATGGAAGGGTGCGTAACAAAAAGCGGCCGGGGATAGCGGAAACGGGGCGCGGAGGCAGGGTCGGCGTTTAACAATAAGAATCTATGGGCACCTCGCCGATGCCTCATCTGCGATCGAAAGTGGTTTCCTGGGAAGTCGGCAGAGCGCCGACTCCGTTTGCTGTAACCGATCGGCGGTGCTCTGAGACGTTCGTTGTAAGTGTGATTTTGTGTCATTGAAATGATATATATTTTCACGGTCACGCGAATATTGTTTATTTTAAGTGAAAGTTCGTTTTTAGTGGGGCTGTTATATGTGGGCTAGACTGTGTTCAGTCGAACCCGTTTATAACAAACTTGAACGTGTCGAGATAAGTGGTTGTTATATCAGTAGTTCGTTGTATATAGACTCGCGCATAAAAACGTCCACTTAGCAGTCAAATGGGGTTTTTTTCCTGTGTGTATTTATTGAAATGTGCTAACAGCCCCTCCGCTGAGAAGTTGCGTCGTTTTGGGTATGTTCTCAAGCGAGTTGAACCACTTTTACAACGAACTTGCGTCGTACCACTGATGCGCGGTATCGCCTTATCGAAGCAATCATCAAGCCGAGTAGCGGCGTGCTGCACGCCGCCACTCGGCTCTGGCCGTTGCGTGCTGGGTCGTTTGCAATCCAATATATGCATGCGTTTGTACGTTCCTTGTACATGCTTCGCTCAGTATTGCGTTTGGGTGCAGCGAGTAGCCTGTTCGTTTACCACAATGAATACTAATTTTGCTAGCAGCGTTACATGAGCAAGCGGCCTCGCACAATATGGTGGCTGCTAACTTGCGAACGGCAGTATGACTTGCTTGCACACCTGCCACTCTGCCAAGCAGATATCTGCAAATCACTCTGATAAGGTTGCTGGTCATGTGTCAACAATGCACGTTCATTGCCACCAGCCACCTCGTCATCGCTCTTTTCTGATGCTTATCCGTTCAGGAACTGCTGCAACAGCGCAGAAGTTATCACCGGTCAGCTGATTTCTGCCGTTACCGAAAGGTGGAAAACGTTCTGCAGCACATTGTGGTGCCGGAGAGTTGAGTGTCGCAGTGAACTCGTATACGACAAAAAGTTATCGCTTCTGCACTTCGAAGGCGTGGTTGGTTAATCTTCGGCGGTCGTAGATGCCCAGAACGGCAGTCAGAAAAGTTTGCGAAAGCTGATCGTAAGTGCTCATGCTGTCTCCTATTTTCTTTTTGTTTTTTCCTCATTTTCGTTCTGCCGATGAGCTCCTTGAAAGTGAGCGACCTCACAACGTCTGAAATCTACGTGGGGTCTCGACGTGGCCTACGATATATTTTCGTCGCAAGTAATCTGCAAGGGGGTATGCGCGAGGGAGCGCCAGTCACATACTTTTGAATGCTTTGATAAGTATATTTGTTCCGCTTCGTGTGCGCCATATATTTATCACGACCGTGTCCGAAATGTTCATTGTAAAAGTAGGAGGCTTTGAAGAATGTTCGCCGTATGTGGATTCAGCTTCAAAGGGTAGGATAAGGAAATCGTAAGTGCACCAAAATATAGTCACTATATCTGATAGATTGTTATATCCGGGATCGTTATAAGCGAGTTCAACTGCATAAATAATATAGTGCACACATTGAATAATATGTCTCTCTTGGATTACATTTCAGGCTGTTTAAGTCTGATGTTCCAAGCTTTTCAATATTTGCATGCCAGTTACTGCGAGTGCAATAGTTTCTTCTGAAAAAAAAAAAAAAAAATGGAGTGCGAAGTTAAAAAAAAAAAACTCACGATCTTCCCAATGGTAAAGAAAGAACTCCCTCGCCTCATTTTGATGAAGCTGAACCCCAATCAACTGTTGGCAGCACCTAACGTGTTTGGATGTATGTTGAATTTTGCTCAGCAGGTGTGGAGCTTGCAACAGGAAGCGGAGACTACAACCACCTCGGAGGATACGGTGCTGCTGCGGCTGCTCGAAGAGATTGTCGAGAACTCGCCGCAGGTTCTGCACTCGCAGGGGCTGCAGAGTGCTCCTCAGGGACAGCCCGAGCTAAGTGAAAAGATGGCCATCAGCGTCATCCAACAGCAGCTGATGAGCTTCGAGGCTCAGGCTGCACAGCTGCAGCCTCAGGTCCGTGAATAGAAGTCCATTCCATACCTATCATCTGTTGTCTCGTCATACCTCTTGTCCGTTGATTTCCGTACCATCCACCTTTTGCCCATCGACATTCATCCAGTGCTTTGTCCTTCATCCTAAACTTCTTGTCCTTCGATCCTGTACCTCTGGTTTATTGACCCACATTTCACACCTTTGGCTGGCCCTTATCCCACACCTCTTCACATTAAACTTTTCAGTTGCGAGGCAGCGCTCGCTCGTGTGCCTTCTGCACTCCTCAGCCTTTGTCTTCATCGCGCTATACCTAACCATCTTACTTACTGACAAGCCTCAGAAGCTCCACTTCCAATACCAGAGCATGATAATTTTCCCTGCTTCTGTAAATTAAATAAAAAAACACTTGTAGGAAGGACCTTGTGCAATACTAATTATATTGCATTGCGTTTTTTTTGTTTTTTACCGGCTAACATCAAGAAATGTAAATTTGCATTGGTGATTGGTTGTGTAGTTTTGCAGTGTTCCTGCCCAAATTAGTATGCTCAGCATGCCTTCATGAATATTTTTGGTGTGGCTGAAGTGTAATACGCAGTATTTTTTAAAATTTTACAATGGTGTCAAGCGAATGTAATGTCTATCTCGGTGCGCACACAGGCTCCTCTTTATGCGGCGCCCGTGTCCTCTGCGTCCTACCAGGCAGCTCCTCCGTTGTACAACAGCGCGACCGCTCAGAGGATGCGACTGGCTGCGCAACAGCAGCCGGGTCAGCCACAGCAACAGCAACAGCAGCAGCAGCAGCAGCAGCAGCAGCAGCAAGGGCTTCGGCAGTATGCACCCAGTGTGGCCAGCATGGCAAGCGTGTCTCCGCAGGTGAGTCATGTTGTACTGGCAGCAGCACACTTGGCGGCGTGCGCATCTTTCGTGAGATTCCCATCAACCGATCCAGGCATTGCGAGCCGAGCCTCGTTTTATGCATGTTGTCGTTGGGTTTCCCCTGGTGATTATACTAAGAAGAAATAACAAAATAACAGTCTGGTGTTCACATTATCACGTAATTTATGGTGTTTGAATGCAGCACCGTTAATTGTTGAGGTATGGGCTTGTAAAAATTTCTTCTAACATTTTCTGTCTCCTATAGTGAGCAGGTGAGAGAACTGGCCTTAAGATGTGTCCCAGCTTTCAGTCCTACTGTCAGCTTCCTGCTTCCGAAAGTAGCATTACATTTAGCTATCGGGCAAAAAGAACGCCCGGCATTAAAGTTCATTTGGCTGTCTATACTTCAAGTAAAATCGTATTCTAATGATGTAGTTCTTTGTTGTTCATTGTGACTGAATATTTATTTACTCTCCTCGTGGGCTAAAACACGCTCAATCGATTCCCCCTTTTTTTGCAATCGAAGAAAGCATGTTAGAAAAGTTTGCTCATATCGATAGGACCTGGAAAAGCATTGTGGCCTCTGTTGGAGACAACGATGCTACCTCGCCCTCTCTGTCGATATGCACGCAGATGCGGCGCAACCTTCTGGAGCGGCGGCAGAAGATTTTCCTGCAGCAGCAGCAGAAACGTCTGCTGGCGCAGCAGCAGCAGCAGCAGCTCACCATGCAGACACAGCAGCAGCCACCCGACACATTCGGACCCGAAAGCATCAACGAACTACTCAACCATGGAGTGGCACCTCCCAACATTGCCATTCAGGTAGCTGCCTGCAAAACCTTGTTGCAGAAGAAAAAAAAAAAAGAGAGAAAATGCAATTCCCTCCAGCTCTCTAAGATTGCTTTCTGGTCCTTGATCAAGCAAAACCATTCGTATGGTGAATGTAGTTATTTCGCTTGAATAAGCAATGGGTAACTCGATTGTAAACACAGGGCTTATCGATTTCAGTACAGTTGGAGCATGTTACGTGGAGCGCAGTAGCTTTAAAGCGGTGTTGGTAAAGACTGCTGCAGTGAACACCTTGTGCTGCCTACATGGAAGGTTGCACCATGTCTGGGTGTGCCAGCACAAAGGGCGTTGCATTGTTTTTATTTTTCTTCATTTAAAAGCCGCAAAATTTTGAGATCGTATCAATGCTAGGGGGGACTAAATGCTCCCTCCAGCTGCGGGGGAAAATATTAAAAAAGGGAAATCAATCTAGAGCCCACCTGTAGTGTAGACCACTTATAACGTAACTCCTTATAGTGCAAAACTTATTGCAATGAGGTCTTTTTCTACTGCCGTTATTACCTTCCCATAGAACCCCACGTGTATGCACACCGCTTATTGTGCAGTCCCCCCCGACATCAGCGACCGGTTACGATACGATTGCCCGAAAATCTTTGTGACAAATGCGGTAGCAACTGCACGTCAGTCTGAAAGGAGGCTGGGGAGTGAGCGACGAGGTCGTTGTGGAGGAGGAGGAGGGGATGGGCGCGCTGGATGCGCTGCTGGGGAGTGAGCGACGAGGATGTTACGGAGGAGGGGACGTGGAGTGAACAAATGAAGGGCAGAGAGAAGAAAAAGAGTGCGGGACCCTGTGCGGGCTAAGGGAGGAGGACGGCTGCCCCGGTGGCACGGCTATGGCGCACTAATGTTGCTAGCGGGCACCAGCCGCGCACAGCTCAACATGGCACGTGTGATCCCGTTCTTATCGACTGCACTTAGCAGATTCCTGTTGGTAAAAGCATCATCACCTCGTCCGTAAATTTAAATTCTTTGCGGCTTTATGGCTCGAGTCTTTGCTGCCAGTGCGCTGTCTTACGTAAGCTTGGCGGCTGTTAATTGTTGTTGATCTCTCGGCCGCGTACGTGAACTTCGTATCATGCATACTGTTCTTGATTCAGCGCGTGAGTGTGGTCTTCTCTACGCTGGTTGTTCATGTCTTGAACAAACTTTCCGTGACAACATATCGGCTAGGCCTACTCAACGCTAGTTGCGTTTCGGTAGTGGTTGCGTGCTAAGTTGCGGTTTGTTTACGTAATCACTGCAACTCTTTGCAGTAGCTGCACTTGAAGGGAAGAGATACATATTGCTAATGAAAATGAGAGTGGCACGTGCAGCACTCAAATGGTGGTCCATGATTGGGTTGTGACGTGCGTGCCTATGAAATTGAACGACATGAAATTCCAGACATGATTCAACAGTATCTGTATAATGTGCATAATTAAGTAGTCGGCAAATTTCTGTGATGGTGCCTTCTTTTGATAGACCCCCCCTCCCCCGTCTTTGTTTTAATTCGTAAATTTAAATGGTTGTTAGTTTTGAATATTCGAATAGGTATTCGAGGTGGAATGTTTCAAAGTTCTGAATATTCGTCAAATGTTGAATGTGTAATATTCATATTTGATTCGATAACCACATAGTAAAAAATTGCGGATGCTATTCGAACTAACACAATGATTCTATTTTTACGAATATTCGGTCACATATGTCAGTGGGAACAACAAATGATTTTGCACATTTGCATTAAGAGCATCGACAGTAGATCATGCGGCGATTACTACTTCGGCTCGAGTGTGGTGATGCCTGCACAGAAATTCATAGGAGCATGATGGCTGCTACCAATGAATGTGGCAGCACGTAATCGCAACAAACCTACGAATGATAAACATGTCAAACGTTCAAAATCGTGTACTGCCTGCTAGGCTGTACGGTGGCTTAACAGTTCAGTGCTGTTTATGTTAGTGGAAGGGTACCACCACGCTCTCTGCTGTCACGCCCTTGTGCGCGGGCTGCCTCGACAAAATGCGTATAGCTCGTGGAAACGAAGGTAACTCGCCGCCGCCGTATTGGCTCGATAAAATAGACGCCGCACCTTTGCCCACTCCCGTGCCGAGCGAGCACAAAAAAAAAAAATTTCGGTGTGCAAGGGGCAAATGCACGAGATGCACAGGTACGTTTCAGGAAGCCGTGCTGACGGAGTGAGCTTAGTAGGCAACACACTGCACGCAGCTAGCTAGGGGCGCTTAGCTTGATGTACGATGGTAACACCTTTCACGAGTAGCTGCGCCAATTTTCGCTAATGGATCGTCGTACAAGTGTACGCACACGTGTGGAAGCCTGACGAGTCATCCGTCAGCTGTGCCGCTACTTAAGCATGTACCGCATTTACTCGTGTAATCCTCGCACTCGCGTAATTCTCGCACCCCCCACATCGCCCAAGAAAAATACGATTTTTTTTCCTCGAGTAATTATCTCACCCCCGAAAACTGCGGCAATAATGTCGTCTGCTCGTTCGAGCCACTAGATGGATGGATGGATGTGGCTGTACCCTTTAGATCAGGCGGCGGCTAACGCCACCTAGCCGTAATATTTAGTGAACTAACCACTAGATTTATCTCTTTTTCCCCCTTTAAATGGTGAAGTTGAGGGCTGGCACTTTGCAGTAAAGGGTTTAATTTTCACTCGTGCCTTGACTTTAGCCACCAGTCGGACAACCTTCTTCTAGATAATTCTACCCGCTTAAAGTCTATTTTGCCCTCCCTGTCCCTAAACCCCAGTGCTTTGAAAAACTCTACGCCATCATCCTGAACTATAGGGTGAAGCCCTTTTCTGGCGCGCTATAATGATAGCGTGCGCCATCTGGCGCCATCTTTTAAGCATCAAGCATACTATTGCAGAGAGATTCAATTCAATCCAATCCAAGCCAAGCGGAAGTGGCCAGCAGCATTGCGGCGTGTTTTGTATGTTGTGTCGGTAATCTTTGCACGTTATGGGGCAATACTGAAGCCACACAGCTGCTTCAAGTTGCAAGTGATAGATCATGCGCTAAACAACGGCAACAGGGCCGCCAGTAGGCCCTTCGGAGCCTACGAGTTTTGTGTTTGCTACTGGTGACGGCAGCTGAAAGCCACCAAGACGCGTTGGGCCTGCCGTGTGCCTAAAACTGGGAATGATGGTCAACTTTATTTCTTCAGAAAAAAACTGCGGACGATTCTGGTAAATAGCCATCAGCCCAATACTGAAGTCCTACGCTTACGTTTTGAGGGCTCCTGTTGAGCGCCAACCGCTACCGCTACGCCCACAAGCTTCGCGTATGGTATTCTAATTCTTGACTATTTGCTTCCACCTTTTGTGTCTCAAATAAATCTTGCCTTGTGTTGAACCTCTGCTTTTGTTGTTGAGGTAAGTTCTAATTAGTACTTCTTATTGCTGGTGTGAGAATCCCGATTTGCGACCACTTCGTTTTCTTTTTTGCTCTCTGCGTTTTCGTGGAAAGTTTTCCCCACGTAATTCTTGCACCCCCCAACTTTGCACCGGTTTTCTGGCAAAACAAGTGGGAGGATTATACGAGTAAATTTGGCATACATTCCATAGTTCCAAATTTATTTCATGGTAGTGTATATATATGTATAGTCATGCGAATTAGCTGAAGTGTTTTTCCATGCAATTGCCAACAAAGAAGCCATGTACTTTTCGGCAATGTTACAAAGGCGTCATCACATATATTAGTCTTCCGTTACACCGTTACTTCAATCTCGCTCTTTTTCCAACGTCAGTTTACTGCCGCCGGCAGCCACTGCCCCAAAGGGAGTCGCAATGCGGCAAAGTAGTGCCCTCTCTGCCGGTAGTTGTGGCTCCATTAACAAAAAGGAGTAGTTGGGGCATTTTTCTATCACACATCAGCAATCATCTATCTCGTGCACTTACCCAATACGGGTTACCTCCTGTTATCACCGCACGCCTGGTACACCTTGGGTCACGATCGTGCAGCTGTCAGTGTGACAAAGCACTTTTTATCGGAAAAAATGGCGAGTGCACAGTCCTTGAGAAAGGAAGCAAGCTAGATAATGAGTATTGCTCTGTAGTTGAAATACGCTCTAAGTACTCCCATTTGTCTTTGTTGCTCGACCTGTGAACAGGGCAGAAATTAAAAATAAAACTGTAAAATCGGGAGTCTTCCGAACCAAAACTGATGGTGTGGGAACCTGGATGAATTGTGAGCACCTAGGTGGCTTTACTAATCGCTTAGACCTATACCCGTGCCACACGGGCATAGAAAATGACATTCGCTAGCGAAGGCATTCAGTTCCCGAACGACATTTTTTTTTTTTTTTGGCGACGCTGCTACACGTCCAAAGCGAATGACGGATGACTTGATGATGTCAATCGCAGCATTTCCTCGTGTGCATTGGGTGAGTAGCAATAAAGAAATAAACAAGCGTTTATAAGCTTCATATAAATTAGATAATAAATGAATGTATAAATAAGCATTTTATGCTGCCGCTACATTTCGTTCGTTACTTTGTTTCACGTCGTTGCTACTGACCATGTAGCAACTTAAGCCAAAGCTAGTCAGATCTGCAGTGTAAAAAGAAAATGGCGCCTGTCGCATTTATTTATATTACAGCATCTACCAGCTGAAGATATGTTTTTAAGCACTTGCTTAAGTGATTAGTGAAAATAAAATACACGAAAAGTTTCCTTCCAGTCGAATCAAATGTCGTTTTATACACTTACTTCATCAGCTGTGCCGTCGAGAGTACGCATTTCTCAGTCGAATGAGTTCTGGCGATGGGATTTGGTGAAGAATGATATTCGGGCATGCCATTTCGTTCATTCGTGTGGCATTGCGCGAATGACATTCGATCTCAAGGCATTAGAAGGTAAATGCCATTCTCTCTGCCCGTGTGGCATGGGTATTACGTACTTGGGTGTTAACTGTTACAATTCACCTCATCAGAATACGGCTGCCATGGCAGGCATCAAACGAGTGGCCTCATGCTCACTATAGTCATGATGGGAGGTACAAAAGCTTGTTTTTATTTTCTTATAATAAAGTGCTACGACATGAAAAAAAAAGATACAAAGCATTTGTTTAACATATGAATTGAACCCAAAACATTACAATCACAAGCTCGACTATTGCAGTCATATGCCTCCCAGAAAATACAGATGGTGAAATGTTTTTTGTGCAATACCACTCTAGAACAGCTATCAAGTGTGCTATTTCAAACATAAATATATAACTAAGTAAAAGATTACTGGTGAAAAATCCATCTCTTTATTATTCAAATCATATTTGAAGCACTGTATTCGTATTCGATTCGTGTTCGAAGATTTTGATATTCACACACCCCTAGTTATAAGCGGTCTATACTGTAGTTGGAAACTTGTATTGAAAAGTATTCTGTTGCAACAATGAAGAAAGTGTGCCGCACATTTGGAATTTGGCTTAATTGGATGCTGGGAACTTGATATTAGATATTAGTGGGCTGGCTGTGCTCTTCGGCCAGTTGTTGCTGTTTTCTCACTTTGTGTGAAAATGTGGTTGCAATGAAAACATTGGTTTGTTTGGAAGTAACCAGGAGGGGGGAGGGGGAACAAGCTTGGGTACATACACATTGCTCATGTTGTTTTCCTGGAATGGTGGTCACATTTTACACTCATTAGTTTTAGTTGAGATTACCGTACTTAGGCGCGTGATCCTTGCACTCGTATGATTCTTGCACCGCCAGAGTTGCCCAACTAGAATACGATCTTCTTTTTCCGCGAGTAAATTCCTGAAAATTGCACCAGTCATAGTCGTCTGTTTCTTCCAACTACTGATGATTACGCATGACAGCCTAGCACCTTCTCTTAAGCATCATGTATACTCTCAACGCACAAAGCCCCATTCCAAGCCAAGCTGAAGTGGCAAGTATGTCTTGCGGCGGGCTGGTGCTAGTTCGTGCAGCGTACTTTGTGTCCATTCTGTAGTGATGCGATGGGTCAATACAAAAGCTACGCGGCTGCTTTCAAGTTGAAAGTGATAGATCATGCACAAAACAACGGCAACAGGGCCGCCGTCAGGCACTTCGAAGTCTACGAGCTTTGTGTTCGCTACCGATGACGACAGCATGAGCTGCTGAAAGCGACCAACAAGACACGTCGGGTCTTCCGTGGACCTAAGACTGTGAAATGCTGATTTTCCCTGCACAATTCTCAAACCCCAAGTTTTGAATTTTCATTTGTTTTGCGCAAGAAAAAGTGCGAGGATTGTGCGAGTAAATACGGTATAGTGGTAGCTTGTCTTGTTAGCATTCGCAGATTATGGGAGGGTTAGATAGTAGTGCTATCATGAGATAGTAGTGCTATCTGCATGGCTGAAACTGCCTGCAGAGATAAACCGTGTAAATTTTTGATTCATGCTGTGATTGTATAAATTTCGCAAGCAGTGTATTTGAATGTGTTGCCTCTTGTCGATGTGAACACTCATAGAACATGGAAAGCAGGTTGACCCAGTATTTCGCAAATGCCGTTGCATGTACCGAAACACCCGGCTTGCTAAAACTCTCTAGTATCAGTGAGCCTCACTGGGCCAGTTTGCGAAAAATGCTGCAGCGGCTTAGCAGGAATTGCTAGCTTCATAAAACAGTTACCGCAAATGCGGGCAACCCTGTTGTTATATGCACATATTCGAGTGCTGCTTGGAAGAGTGGTGTCTACTTGTGGAAGTGTAGAGAATCGTGAGCCAAAGTGTGGGCCCATTGCATGCGTGCTGCGCAGCACAGCTACCACCTGAGCCAGGGACAGGGCAGGGACCTGCAGGAGAAAATGATGAAGATGTTCAGACCGGTGCGTGCCACCCACATACTTTCCTACTCGAGCGCTTGCTTCCTGTCTACGCTCCTGCCAACGCTTGGAACTCCCCAGGGGGATGGGTAAAGACGTCTGTCTGGTAGCCACTAGGTCGGGCAGTGAGACGCTGCCCTAAGCCTACTACGCAGAACACTGTTGAAACTCGAGCCAACTGCTCTGCACTCGTAGCTTTCAGTAGAAAATTGGGGTGGGGGGTCGTTGTTATGGTGTGTGTTCAGTCACTAACATCGCAGCATTAGCAGCCAGAATGACATTAGCAAATGCTTGGAGCTCTGAGCCCTCAAAGCGAAGACACTCTGTGTCAGCCGCTTATTCAGCCGCTGTCGCAGAGTCGCTGGCCAACGTGCTGGCAAGCTGCATTGTCTTGGCGCTTGCAGTTGCGGACGTAAATTATTGAATCAGAGCAGGGAGAAAGAGCTTGATCTGTGCGTGCCTCAACCACTGAGAATAGCTGCGGCATCTTGCTTGTGTTTTGTCTGCACTGTTGGCCTGTTTTTGCACTGTACAGTCTGTGTTGTTCTCTGTCCTGTTCTTAACCAACATTGGCACCAGCTGCCTGCAGGTGACTTCTTTAATTACACATTTCATTGTGCATGGCAAATGTGTCATTTCCAACAGGTGCGCCGTCCACACCTATTGTGACAAGCTTAAATCTGTTTCATGAAAGTCTTGCCTAGTTTTCTCAGTGTGCAGTAGTGTTGTAGCATAGCTGCCGAAGTTACATTTGGCCGAGTCAGGGGGCTGTGTCGCAGTGACCCAGTTGCCTATTTGGAGTACTTTGGGGCAGGTTAGAGGCCAAGTTCATAAAAAGTGTGGTGAGGCAGCTTTTCTGCGTGCGTGGTCACTCGGTTTGTGACCGAAATGACCGCTCGAAGATAACTGGCCGGTTCGGCCCGTGAACATGGTCGTGTTTGCATGCAACTGCTTGCGAGAGTTGTCGGAGTACGTAGTGGTCGGGGCCGAGTTGTTTGGTGGGCACGCTTGCACCCTCCCACTTGCAATGCAGCCTGGATCGACTACAGACACCTCGTCGCTCTCCCCAGCTTGCTTGCATTTCACTAGAAGTTGGATGACTAGGCATAACAGGTTTTAGTTATCCAGTAAACTTATTCAGAATAACGAGATATGTGCATCTGTTTAGAGTGAGTGAAGTTTCTGTAATGGGCACTTTTTTTTATAGAAGACGAAGTAAAGGAGGCTGGGTTAAGGGATCTGCGTTTTTGTGACGTACTCATTTATTAGCACAATCTAGTTTGTGACGCAATGGAAGGATGAGGTACAGGAGAATGGGTACAGTGCCTTGCATGGATCTCTTCGTGTCGAAAACACTGCAACATGACATGAAATGCTGGTGACAGGCACACGGAGGACAACCAATGAAAAGCTAATCTTTTCTGCTCTGTTGCTTTGTGTGCAGAGAGGTGGAATTTCGGGTGCAGATGCGCCTCAGCAGCTGTCTCCCCGATTCGGGGGTGTGCTCAGTCCCCCTCAGCAACAGGTGAGCCCTCGTGTTGGCCATCATGCCATTGTGTCCTATTATGCGAAATCTTAACGTGTGTGGGCTAGGGCTGAGCAATCTAAAAAATAAACGTATCTTAGACTAAGATGGGAATATACAGTGCTTGAGATAGGATGGTGAAAGAACTACGAACAGGGCACGGAACGGCGAACACCTGCACCCTGTCTGTCCTTTTGTCACTATCCCGCATCTAGCTCTGTTTGTTCCAGTCTCAATCATGTACCAACCACATATACCGGCCAACTCTCCTGATTTACTCAGGAGACTTTAGATTCCTGACCCGTTTTTCCGATTGTACCATCACGGATTATGAATCTTCCGTTGAACTGCCTCAGCGCATTTTTAGAAAAAAAAAAGTACTTGACTGTTACAATTGCGAGTTATCTCGAGACATTGTTACGTTACCGTGTGCGGTCCACTCTAACTATATGCAGAAAAGCACCGCTTCTACTGCGCTATGGTTGTTTCAAAGTACGGCCAAGCTCTGCGAGTGCGTGGCACTTACTGGTGTACTGTGTCACTTTGACTGATCCATAGAAATGAAACTTGAACAACTCATTTCGAAGCAGTTTCTACATCTAATCACGAAGCGATGTCTGCCAAGGCATCTAACTGTGACGCATGTAAATGTGAAGTGTGCACTGAGTGCCAGTGGATTTTGAACTGGTGATGTGTATCGGTAAGTACCTTGGTGCATCGGTTAGTACCTAAGAGTAAGGTCAGCGACCTGCTCAGGTTCACAGAGTTCAAAATAGCATGGGCTTTACTAAGCCAAGTGCTGGGTCATATGAAGATGGGAAGAAAAAGTGTGCGTGGCAGTGGGCATGGCAAAAAATGGCTTCTGCATAGTCTCAGTGTCCACGGGTCACATGCGTGTCTCTAGAAGCGCCCGAGTGGTTTTGGCGATTGCATCGCTTTTGTCTATTTCATCGCCGCCAGAGAAAACACTTGCATTTGCTGGGGACCCCTGCCATGGCGAAAAGCGCAGGAAGGAGCGGCTCACGGTTCTCATTGGCAGCATCTTGCGTTGCTCGTAATAGGGAAGGTGGAGCATCCAAGATGTTTCAAGGGGGCAGTAACTCTGCCTGTTCTCTACGAAGCAAACAAGAAGGCATCGGTAACACAGCAGCTATTCGAAGGGTACGAGCGCAAGCTGGACAGACGGTTCGAGCAGCAAAATCAAAGTCCTGCTTTTTGTAAATAACTGCGCTGCGCATGGCCACATCAAAGACCTAAAGGCTGTCCATATTCAATTTCTGCCACCGAACAACGCAGCAAACCTGCAGTCGATGGACCAAAGCATGATTCGTGAATTGAAGCATCTTTACAAATCACACGTGCTCAGCCGCTTGGTGCGGTGCTCCAACTGTGGGAAACACTACGCTGTTGACTTCAGGGGCAACGTCAGCATGTTTGCAGACTCATGGAAGGTGGTTGTGGAGGAGACTCTCCTGAACTGTTTTCCCCACACGGGCTTCACACTCCACGCCGAGGCGGCCGTCTCGCCCAGAGCGGTCAGCGTGTGTGACAAACTTCAATCTGGGGACGCTGTCTTCGTCGGTCCATGTGCTGCCGGTGTTTTAATTCAAGCTGGGATAACCTTTGAGGGCTTTGCCGACACTGACAATGACTTTGAGCTGTGTGTGGATTTCACCAATAATGAAATCATTTGTCAAGTTACGGAGGATTCCGGCAACTACGTCACCGAGAACGAGAACTCAGGCAACGAGCTCAGCGATGACGTGGGCACTGATGACACTATCATCGGTGTTCAGTGACAACATGACATTAGCTGCAATTAAGGCAGACATCATTGCAGAAAGTAAAATGCCCTGCAAAACAAAATAAGCGACTTTTTGGCTCCGAATTGTTGACCAATGGGTAATGCCGGCCACGTCGGATTATCAATTTTTTATAAACTGCTATTTTCAGAGCCACCTAAGCGATGCATTTACTGAATTGCAACGAGAATCTTGTACTCCGGCCGTTTGGGAACAGAGCGTTGATGTGCGCGTTGTGGCGGTAGTAGGGAGGGTAATATGGGTCTTGGAGGTGGGCCCGTTGTGAAGGAAGTCGTGAAATGACAAGTATTGCCACCTCGATGCTGTTTTAATTCAAAACAACAAACTTTGCATAGTAATTAAAATCTTGCTCTCTCGTTTGTAGACATTCATCTTTTTTTGAAACCCTCACTTATTCGCCACCTGGTTATCTTTCTTTTATGGCCCCATAAAATCTGAAATTATCAAGTTTTAATCTGTTTGGTCTTTTTTTTCTTTCTCATTGAGAGTTTATTTTGCAATTCTTTGTTCATGAACTCGAATTATTGCTGCAGTATAAATGCACCCTGCAACACTTTTCCAAGTAAACAGCTAATGGCTTCATTGAAGGTGTGCTACATTGCCCCATATAACAACCACCGCAAAAATTTTCAGAATTGCTCAAGCTTGAGCCAAATTAAGGGAGGATAGCAAGGGGGGAAGAATCTTTGTCATGTGCGCAACATGACCTTGAGCACCCGTGCGGCTTGTTTTCAGTGTGATCGCAAGCACGCAATGAGCACATGGTGGCCTCTTGCGATGGCAGCAACAGCTAGGCATCTCACGATGCTCAAATCGGCTAATAGCTGTGACTTTGGGAATATTGCACCATTTGCAGAAATAAGAGGGAGCGATTTCTAGCTGACTTTAAGAGTATATGTACAGTAGACTTGCGATAATTCAAACTCTCATATTTCATACTTTCAGTTAATTCAAACAAAATTACATTTTTTGGTTCGCCCTTTATTTTTTCAATGTATTTAAAAGCTTCTTGATTCAAACCTCATCATTCGATTAATTCATACTTTTTTCAGTTCCATACCAGAAAAAAGTCTGCTGCTTTCCCGCTACTATTTAAAAATTTGCATGCTTATATAATCATGACAGTCTAAAAATGAAAAGTAAGCGCTTCAGGCCTTCAAGAAAAAAGGCTTTACTAGTAAACAAATGTTTGAAACGAAGCACACGCATGGTAAACCGTGATGCTTTTCAACTGGTATAGAGAGCTTTGTTTTGAAGGCACATATAGCAAAGCAGTTAATTCACAATTTCTTTAAGTAGTCTGATCAGAAAGCACATGCACCTGTGCTTTCTGTTCATTACATGCAGTTAGGGTTTAAAAACACTTTAAAAACTTTTAATGTGATAAAATTAATGTCTAATCATAATGTGTGGTGTCACCTCACCTGGAGTTGTATATCTGCAAACTTCTGATAATTCAAACTTCTTGATAAATCAAACAAAATTCATAGGTCCCTTCGAGATTGAATTAATGAGAGTCGACTATATTCTGGTCCATGCAATGTGCTTATATGTTTTAGCTTGCGTGTTCTTAGGTCTGGACTACGGATCAGCAGCTTTTCTGACCATGTTGAAAAAGTATTGCAGGGCCCGCTTAGGATCTTCTTTATAGACCTCTCTTTTTTCTCCCTTAGAGATGCAATATGTGGGTAGTTTAACATAAGTGCCCTTGCACGTCCTTTACTGCAGAAACTTACATTTTTAAATGTATCTCTCACCAGTGGACTAATCGACAATCAGATGTTGCCTTTAATCCTTCAAGCGTTGGAAGACATAGGACAGTGGTACCCAGGGCCAGGAGGAGGGTAGGTACATCCGATTATTCGGCGATTCACAACTAGTAGTCTTTCAGCTGCCAAGCGATTCATTCATTCGTATATGTGTGGTTGAAAGAATGGCACACTGGAGCTGCAGAGAAAAAGAATCTGCGGGCAACTGTGTGTGGAGGGAGGAATATTTGGGATAGAGATGGCGCAGCACAACATGATTCAAACAAAGAAAGAGCACAATCATAATAAAGTGCATAGGCCTGCCCTGGGATCGTCACTTCAGAACAGGCAAAGCTGATAAAGCTCAGCTGAACGAACGTTCTTGGCAATGACGTTCTTGGGGTGTAGCAATGCTTCAAGGGAAAAACGAAACGAAGGTAATGCCTTTCTGAGGAGTCGCGCTTGCAGAGGCTGGTTCTTGTGTGTTGTAATTAATGCTCTCTCCCGGTTAGTTTCATCTTCTGCAGCATGGTTATTTGTGCGAATGTCGACTGTCTGTTTGTGGCTGCATTTCGTGCCCTGCTGACTTTTTTTCTTTTACCTAATGTTTGTGCAGCCCCAGCAGCTGTCTCCAGGGCAGCGCTACTCACCCCAGCAGCCGCAGCAGCCAGGAGGCGGCTTCCCTAGTCCTTACACAAGTCCGGGCTCCCCTCACCTGGGCTCTCCCAGCGGAGGCAACGGGCCGCCTCAGTGGTCCCCACGGCCCCAGGCCGCCTCTCTCCAGCAGCAGAACCCCATGCTCAATGCCCAGCTCTCACAGGTGCAGTGTCCTCCGTCCATTGCTATCTTTGCTCTTGGTAGAGGACTAGTACAGTAGACCCATGTCAAATTGGATGCCAAGGACCAGCAAAAGTGCACTCCCTAGGTTATAGCGGATGTTTCGCTTTGTGGAAGTTCGATGTTTTTGTCCACCAGCCTTATACTTTTGCATTGGAAATTCAAAGGGATGTTCGATATAGCTTGTAATTCGTTATACCCGAGTGACTGTATGCAGTGATGGAAGTGCTGCTCCAATTGCTTCAAATTGCTCCAAAAGAGGAATGCTGCTCTATGCGGCTCCAAAGTGCAATATTTGCTGGTAACTGCTCCAAACCTTCTCCGAAAGGATGTTGACTAACTAAAAAGAATGAAGTTGAATCATGGGACCACCCGTGAGCCTAAGCGAAACCAAAAGCAAGTTGTACACTTAGTATAGCATCATCCTAGTACGGTAAGCTACTCAGTGCCGTAAATCCAGATAAATCTCAAGGAGTGACACATATCACGCCATAATGTCCAATTCATATTTTTAATATGGGTTGTATTTTTATTTATACAAAAATTAAATCATGCTTTCAATAAAATTTAAAATTTAGCATGGGGTCCCGAGCTCGAGAAATTGTATTGTTCTATTCAGTCTTTTTATTTTTCACCTTTTTTCGATTTCTATAGTTCACACAGTTGAAGAGCATTTAAGACAGGTACGCAGTGAAAGATAAAAAGGTTTTTTCGAAATTTTATTGCGCTATACATAACTGTTAACTCAATTATATCATGTGCTAAAGCTAAATCTCTGGTGGGACACTTGCAAGGGAGACCTCCTCAACCTGAACACAACAAAAGTCCGAACTCTCTTGCCCCCCCCCCCCCCCCCTCATGATTTATAGCAACTATACCGCTTGTGTGCTAGCTGTATACTAACATCCGGCATGTTTAATAATAAATAATAATTAGATGCTTAAGTGATGTTTTATACTTCAGGAGTCGTTATAAACATGCGTCTTCTCTGAAAACACCAGTAGCAACCATAAGCCGTAGCATTTTTTTCTGCTCCGAAGACACTCGAGGCTGCTCCAAAGCACCATTTTTTCTGCTCCAAAAAGCAAGATGTCACTTCCACACCTGTGTATGTTCTTTCAAGTAATGAAGAACCCAGAATATATAATTTTGAGGAAACTATGCAATATGTACTAACATCAGTCTTGCCCATCAAACTGGAACTGGTCACTTCAAGAAGCCCATGGCACGTACGAACAATGCTTCTAAGATGGTACTACAGTGGACTCCCAATAACCGAAACTCGCCTAAACAAAAATGCCTCATTAACGGAAGTAAATGGGCTCATGTGGCTGAATTTCTATGTGTTGCGTAGTAAAATTCTTCGGTTAATCGAAACAGTGCTTACTGGTCACCTACGTTTAAACAGCACAAACTCTAAACACAGCATAGACTTGCTCAGGCCAAGGGTAGTCTCACAACCATGGTAACACCTCGAGACAAGCCAATCCAGTAGCCATCCTCACTTGTGGTACCTGTGGGAATCGAGTCGACGAGTCAGTTGTGTGTTAGGCCTATTTGTGCGGCTAAGTGAGGTAGATCACGGTGTTATTTCAGCCGGATGGAAAGGAAGCGGCCGCACCATGCACTCTTGCTTGAAAAAAAGCTGCAAATTCTTCAGGAGCTCGATCAAAATGGCCTGCCCAAGACGAAGGTGGCGAAAAAATACATCCCGAAATCGACGCTGTTGCGGTCCTGCAAAGACAGAGAAAAGATTGAAGGCGCTTTAAAGAACGGGACCTTTACGTCTATGGGGATGTGAATGCGGACGATGCCTTATGAAAACTCGAAACAGGTCTTTTTCTGTAGTTCAAACATGCACCGAGTTCCAATTTGCCCATAAGCAAAGTAATTCTCGAGCGGAAAGCCCGAGAGATCGCCATGCGAATAGATGTTGAGAACTTCTTCCTAAGCGACGAAGTGAGCTCAGCCGCTTCAAAACACCCCATGGCCTAGTCTTCAAAGCTATCTTTGGTGAGAGTGCTGCAGTCAACAGGGACGTTCACACCGACTGGCAACAGGCACGGCTTAAGGAAATTTTGATGAGCTTTGAGCCACGAGACGTCTTCAACGTTGACGAGATGGGTCTTTTTTTGTAAGGCGCTTCCATAAAGCTCTCACCTTCAAAGGCCAAGCCTGTAGTGGAGGAAAACACAGTAAAGGTCGCATCACTGTGGTGGTGGGTGCGATCATGGCAGGAGATGAGAAATTGAAGCTGTTGGTAATAGAAAAATCAAGGCACCCACGTTGTTTCAAAGGCGTTTGTCACCTTCCTGTTGCGTACTATGCGAACGGAAGAGCGTGGATGACCATGGCTATTTTCAAAAACTGGCTATGGGAGGAAGACGCAAGATTTACGAGGCAAGGCGAGAAGGTTGTCTTCATCATGAATAAGTGCCCACCCCACGGTCAGGTTGAAAGACTCCAAGCCATCACTCTGGAGTTCTTGCCAGCCAATGCAACGGCAGTGATCCAGCCGATGGATCAAGGGGTTATTCAGAACATTAAAGTTTATTATCGCAGACAATTGCTCCATCGAATGCTGCTTTGTGCAGGCAGCAGGAAATGCGACAGCATAGATTTATTGGCAGCCATTCACATTTTGGCTCGTGCCTGGGAGCAAGTGAGAGCAACAACAATACACAGATGCTTTCATTATGCTGGCTTTCAAGTGCAAGAAGCAGTACCTGATGAGGAAGGAAGCCCTGCTGATGCCCACATTTATGCAGTATTCAGTAAGGTCGTGCCGTCTGCCCCTTTCACGCTGCAGGACTACGAATCAATTGATGAAAATGTTCGTACCTGTCGTGAGAGACTGCCGAGGAAATGATTGCCGAAGTGCAAGATGAGGATCAACAGTCCAGCGATGACTGTGATGACAATATTGCCAGTGTAGTGGTGCCACCATACCGATCAGCTAAAGTGGCTGTTGATTGTTTGCGGCACTATTTTGAACATGCAGCTTGTCCAGAATATCTGGCTAGTTTCTCAAGCATGGGAGCGTGCCTTGGGAAAAAACAACTCTAGCTTGCCAAACAAACCACCCTTCACCCCTTTTTCTCTCCTACTCATCCTCATGAGTAAGGTGAGGTTTTTGCAATTTAAATAAAGTTTTTCATTCACTAAATGAGTTTACTTTGCCTAAATGAAGCTTCTGATAAATGGAACAGTTTTATGGATTACCTTCGAGTTCTGTTTAAGAGGAGTCGACTGTACCTCAAAATTTATTATAATGAACCTGGACAGTCAAAATATTGGTTATAATGAAGTAAATGAAGACTTGTCTTGCAACAGATATAGTGTTAGAAATATACCTATATAACAAATTTTCAGATATAACAAATTTACTTATGTAAGATGCAAGTTATTTACTATGTGTTTTGATTGTAGATGGCTTCTATATTTTTTTAAATGACCGTCAATCGATATATGGGAGAAGGTGGAAATAAATTCTTGTTCTCAAATTGAAGAAAAAAATAAAATTGAATGGACGTGTTCAAATTGGAGAAATAAAATAAAATTGAACACACTTGTTCTTTCCAATCAAAGGACTCGAAAAATTGCCTCTCTGTGGGATCTGATTTTCGTGAGACACCTCGGACAGCGGTGTCACATAAAGACACCCGTTAAGGCAGGATTCATAATTGCTCACGTGTCCCGTGCAGGGTACCTTTGGCACGCAGCAGCAGCAACAGCAACAACAACAGCAACAACAGCAGCAGCAGGCGCGCTTCGTGAGCCAGGCACGGCAGCCCCAGCCCCAGCAGCAAATGGCTGGAGGGGGCCTGCGGCAAGTGGTCAGTCCGGGAGCAAGCCTGGCTCGGAACCAGTCGCCATTCGGGGAGCAGTTTCCTTTTGCCCCAGCCACCAGGGGGGGTCCCTCTCCTGGTCCTCCTCCTCCCCAGCAGGGTCGACTGCAGAGGGCCATGTCTGTACCAGGTGAGCAAGCAGGAAGGCTGATGACTAAGCATCATTTGTACTGGTAATCGTGAGATCACAGAGCAGAAACAGTCTATAGTCGGTTACAACCTAAGAATAAATTTTTGCTTCTGCCCCCAATACTGCGCACACCTGTCATTCATCTGTGTAACAAAGCAGTGATTGGCAATTTCCGTTCTAACCATAAGCACATTTCGCTATTAATGCAAATACTACGCATATTATAACTTGAAAGTTCTTCATTTCTAGTTGAAACGTTGCATTATGCGGAGCAGTGAGGTCGGAATTTTTTTATGGAATTAGCCAAGAAGTAAAAATTTTTCAGCCAAAAACTAGCAAAATGAACAGAAGTGGGGGGTCAACTGATATTCTCAAATTCAATGAGACATTTATGCCAATTCTGCCTGGGTGGGACAGTGACCGCTGTGGCTTGCATTTTTCTTCGGCTGTAACCGACTGCTTCGATGATCATCGATGATCGGCTGAAATTCGATGATCGGCTGTAACCCATCATCGAATCTATCATTAAGGGCAAGAGCTGATTTGGCTTTTCGTACCGCGGGTTTGCGTTGACACAGAACTAAGTGACGTTTAGTGCGCGTGTCACAGTAACTCTGCCAGTACGCTCTGTTTGGCCTTCTTTTCACTTTTGGCATTTGCTGCTAATGAAGACAGCTTTCTGTTAGCCATCTAAATTCGAAAATTGAGGACAGTTATAGTAAATTTTTTTTTGTATCACCCAGTAATTTGGCAGATAATGAGATCTATGGCCAGCACACCTATTGAGGCTGGCACGATGATTGTGCAATTTTAGGCGTTTTTTTCAATGCCTTTGCCTTCTCAAGAACACAAGAGAGAAGTGCAGACCAGATTAATGGTACAGATAAGAGAAAGAAGCAGACTGGAAGAAAGAGAAGACTCTGTTAAATAATATCGTGCTAATTAAGGTTGTGCTAATTAAGGCTGTCCTAACTTGCACCATTGCTGGTAACTTAAGTTAGTTGCGACGTTGGCTACTAGTCCAGCCACACACTATTAGTGCAAGCTGCTCACGTTATTTTTCACGTCGAAGCACTGGGCCCTTATCCTACTGGAAAAGTTTCATAACACTGTGGTCGGATCTCCACACGACTTTCAATCTCACAAGCTTTTGTTCTAGCAGTACCAGTTGTACCGTTCCGATGGAGGTGGAAATGTTGTAGGCCCGTTTTGGGTGCTTGTTAAAGAACCCTAGCTCGTCAACATTACCGGAGCCCTCCACTACAGCGTCTCTCATAATCATATGGTGGTTTTGGGAAGTTAAACCCCACATATCAATCAACCAGTTGTACAGGATTGCCTTGCAGTGCTTCATTCTCCTGCTAAAACTGCAGATGGCAGAACACGAAAATAAGAAAGGCAGGGGACGCGGTTGGAGGTCGAAAATCGGCCCAAACATCACATTTTCTCTCTCATCATTTTCGCTTTCCCTATGCCCTTCCGCACCTGTCAGCAAAGTTTGGCTTCGAAACTCCGCCTATTTCTCAAGTTATAACCCATAAACAGAGCAACTTCGCGCAAGCAAACCTTTAAATTGAAGTCCAACAAGACCAAAATGGCGCTGATGGAGCGCCACTTTGGTCTTGTTGGAAAGGTGGCGTTTCTAGCTCTTTTTTTTCTTTCTTGGTAGACAACTATGTGCCCCTCGCAAAAGCAAAAAGAAAAAGCGAAATCAAAATCGCGCGCAGCGCACGTGACCAAAATGGCGCTTCCCGATTGGCCAGGAAAACTCGCTGGCAGTGTCCACCGCCATTTTGAAAGGGTATCGCTTTTGCAAACGTGTCCTTATGCCCGGCGGTGCGAAAAAGTTTCGATCGCAGCATCATTTTCGCCATTCACAGAAGAAAGGCAGAACTGCTGCTACTGTGTCACGGGAGCGAGCGCTGGCGTTGTTTGATAATGCCGTTTTGATAACGTCGTCTTAACTGGTTTTTCATGCATGCGCGGCGTGGCCGCAGGCCATCTGTGTACTGAAGATGTTATCAATGGAGAAGTGTGTTAGGCGGCTTCCCCGGATAGCGGGCGCTTTGTGAATTACGACCGCACTGATGTTATCGGCAACGGTTACAGCGCGCGCTATGTCGACTCCGGTCGTGTGCGGGCAGACGCTGATGTGATCGAATCCAGTGAAGTTCGCGACGCGCGCCCCCTGTGAGACAACCACGGGCTTGAGGGTCTTTTGTCGGTGTCGGCAACAGCGCAAAAAATTGGGTGCTTTTCGGAGTCGGGTGGTGCGGCACCGTGGCAGCATGCCAGCAAGGCAAGACTCAAAATTCACACGAAAGCTTCAATTTGGAGTTTGGTATCAAAGGAGCAGCACGATTCTCTTTTTGCTGTGCAAGCTGCTGCTGCAGAAGCTCTGCTTCAACACGGGCAATGTCAATGCATTTGCTATTATTCTAGAGCAGATGGATGTCATGATATTCAGCAGCACATCCCTGAGGGCTAGGGAGAAGGACTGTCGTCAGAGTGCAACCAGAAATAAATATAGGGAAGCGTCCCTAAGACTGAGAAAGCTGGTCAAGAAGAAGCATAAGGATGGGATGCATCCAGGTTATGCCCCTAGTGCATCTTCATAAGATTTTATTAGTATTTTTTCAATAGAGGTGTTTTGAATCGTTTTTCCTCGTTTTCTCAAAACATCATTTTTGGCACATTTTCCAAGTTGGAAGTTCAATAACTTCTGTTTCGTTCGATCTATCTGCATAATTCTTTTTTCGCTAGAAAGATAAATGCATGCAGTATGCAATATGCCTATTTTTAAGGCAAATATAGATAAAAAACTTTTCAATTGGGTCACATGCGTGATAGGTGAAGGTGGCTTTTTTTTTTCTCTGAACATTGGTGTCCTTTAACTCTTGTTGAAATTGGCCGAGCAAATTGATTTATAGCATATTGCACTCCTTAAGGGGGTACGTAGCAATGGGAATAGTAAATTTGGTCCAAATATTGTTTTTCAATTAATTTTTTTCTGTAATCCTGAGACCATGTTTTACATCGTAGTGTGATTTTAGACCAAATACAGTCAAACCTCAATATATCGAACACGTATATAGCGAATTATTGCCTATATCGAACGGTTTCTATATCACGCGGGAAAAGCGCATCCGTTATTGATTTTTTATTTCGAACAAAGATTGACATATAATGGATATATCGAACTCAGCCACTCCAAAACGCCCGCGCTCCATTGAGAGGCGGCGAGCTTCCCCGCAACTCTAGAAAGTAGCGGTAGAGCGGCGGGCGTTTACGAATGCTGCACACATCGATGGCGCCGAGAGCGCCACTTTAACGTAGTGGCGTACGCGCGCTGCAGCCTTGTGGTAGAGGTTCTTAAATGAGGAAAGAGAAGAGAAAAGCGCGGAGCTGTTATCGTCTTTCAATACGAAGGCACCGCTTCGCGCGGGGGGAGGGGGAGTGGGAGGTAAAGATTGAGGAGGAAAGTATAGGAGGGAAAGGACGCAGACGACTGTCTCGGACGCGGCCCGCGCTGCCGCCGGGAAAGAGAAAGCAGTCAGGCGAGCCGGCATGGTCGCGCCATTACACCTGGACTTACACCGCAGCCTTGCAGCTTGCAGTCTTTGCAGTCTCTATGGTGTCAACGGCACACTGCGCACTTGTTGCAAGCTCCTCCCCCGTAGCATCTGCAGGCATCGGTCGTTGTGCTCGCAGTGTTCGTGCGTTCGGAGTTAGGCCTGTCGCGCGCTGTGGTGCGCGACAGGCCTAACTCTGAACGGCGGAGCTCACGGATGTGAAGATTGTCGCCGAAGCTACTGCTGAGCAGCCAAATGAAGACTCTGCCGAGGTGGATCCCGCAAGCGCTGATGGTGCCCCGCTCCCGACATCAGCTGAGGTCGTAGCTGCCTCGGCCCTTGTGCGCCGCAGTGGCGGCGCGATTGAAGGCACCGGCCTATCACTTATGGATCGCCTGGACTATATTGAGGACGCAGTCGTCGAACACGCACGCCATGGCCAACTAAAAGCAGGCTACTCTTTTTCAATATTTGAAACCAACACAATAAATACTATGTTTGAATCTTCAAGTGAGTATTTACTGCACCACGCTTGAACGGTTCGTTGGTTGTTTTCAGCAAGCTGTTGACGCATTTTTTTCGTGATTTTTTTATATCGAATTCTGGATATATCTAACTATTTTGCGATCGTCGCGCCGTTCGATATATCGAGGTTCGACTGTAAGTAGTACAAGTTTAGAAACGAGCATTTTACATGTGGGCTGTCATCAAAAGCTGTGTAAAAATTGGGCAGAGAAAAATGCAAATTTGGAGCTTTCCCTTGGCACAGTGCCATCATATTAGCATCATCATAAAGAGGACAGAGTGGAGCTCAAAATAGAATCAATACTGCATTGCTCCGATGAAAAATGAAGCCAGCTTCTTTCTGACTTCCATTATATCAGCTTCTAGCTCCAATTTCTTTGAGCTTCATTTTCTCAGCTTTCATTTTTTGAGCACTTGTCGGTCTTCCCTTTGCCATTTCACAGCAAGTTAAGCTGCAGCCGTTCTGTTTTCTGCACTTTGTGGCGTACACGTATCCCGAAGGAGTACGGCCACCAGCGTGGGTCTGGTCTTAGCAAGCCGCAGGGCATGCGTTAACCGTTGCCGTGGCGAGAACACGATACTGCTCAAAGTGGCAACACTTTATTGTGGCAACACCAAACGCAGTACAGCCCGTTGCAAAGGCGCGGCGGGAAAACAAATAGGCTTATCCACGCCACGGGCATAAAAGTACTACATAGGGTGCCACGAGCACGTCTCCACGGTAAAGGTGATCCACGGAGACACCGGGACCAAGGCCCAATTGCTCGAGCGAGGGCAAAGGCGCTCGCGTTGGCTTCGGAGGGAGACGGGTTGGCGTAGCTAGGCCACGCACTAGGACACCGTACCGCCCTTCCGCCGTGCATACTGTAGTGTACACGTATCCCGAAGGAGTACGGCCACCAG